CTTTGGTGTAACCTTAAACATGTCGCTCATGCTCAAAGCCCCTCCAATGTGGCTTATTTTTAAAAGATCCTGCAAAGACCAGCGAGCCACAATTAATCCACAGCGATGTGAAACGAATGCGCTTAATCAGGTCTCCCAACAACACACCTCCCAAGTTTGGAGTAGTTTAGATGAAAATTTCTTTAGATGGCTGAGAAGAACATAAATTATGGATTTTTGACAAGAAACTAAAGGCGTTGGACAGATAACCTGTTGACATATTTTCTTGTAGCTGATAAATAAAACTAAACTAAATGTAACTGTCTAAAATGCTTGTCGATAAGTGAGAATCCAAGTGGTAGAGCAATTAATCAACTGACTGGAACATAAGGAGGTATTTAAGTGTGACACGGGTGTACACCTGCCAGGAAAGGTTGGCAACGTCTGCCCTACACAGATACACGAGCATGTAACATGACTCAGAAACAGATTAAGACATTGATTTAAACTCAGCAAGGAACACTTGAGCAGCAGCCAGCTGCTCATTCGCACAGGTCACTGAGGAGATCTGTCTGTCCATTTAGGGGTAACCCTCATGGATGCTGGGGTCAGATGGCTGTGATCTTTTTGTTGCCATCTGCATTAGGAAAGCATGCTTGATTTAACGGTTATCAGGCAAAAATAGGGTACAGTAGCAGGCAGCAAGCTAGAGAAGCATAAGACAAATGTGGCATCCTTTGTAATTAGATTAATATGGGTTAGAAGATAAGCTGTAATCAATTGTAGTGGTCAGTCCGAACCTTCACAGATTTAGTTTGCATGGATCGCTAACAAAAAAAAGGGAACACAGACGTCACTTTTCAGGGGTTTTGGATATTTCATGGCTGGGAAAAAGAATGAATGGGTAGAAAACAGCACTCTGTGTGTTTTGGATGGCAGTTCTGTGAGTGGTAATGGTGCTTAGGGAGTAAGGAGAGCGCTCATGAAAGAGACAGGCGTGCATCTTTGTGGGCTGAATGAGAGAAGCGAGCCAGCTCTCTTTGGGTAGTTTAGGGTCTTATGGGAGAAGAGAAATGTGTTATTTCCAGACAGTGAGAGGGAAAGTGATGATGCAGCAGATGAAAAGAGGAGATGAATTGGATGTTACATAACTTGACCAGTTTTCCAAGGTTTCAGTTTGAGGGAGTCTGAACTGTGAGCTTTTTACTGCCAGATCAAAATGTGTGTGTATGGTCAGGAAGCACGTTTTACATATATCCTGCAATCTATAAAAGCTTAACAGTACCACTGTAAATTAGCTTTAAAGTGCCCTTACATGGTTCACAGTGTGTCCCACCAGAGAAATGGGTTAATAGAATAATAAGCCTAATTAATTAAAAATAATCATAAAACGGTGACTTTGAAATAATGAAACAATCAGCTCTGCGAAAGGAAGAAAAAAAACATCTGGAAGTTGTATAATATTTTCTAAGCTGTCAACTTAAATTTAAATTGAAGGTAATGATTAATGCAGCTGCATTCATAAAACGGTCCTGCTCCGAAGAAATTCAGAGCAACAACATGTAACTTGGCAGAGAAAGTGCGTGTGGGCACATGGACCGAGCGATGCTGTAAGTAGAAGCAAGAATACATCCGACAAGGGGGAGTTTCTCCACGCAAAGCGCATGCAATCCCTACAAAAATTCCCAGTGACTTCAGATCCAAGGAGGTGGTGATACTCATGCGAGCACGATTCAAACTCTCTCACTTAGAGTAAGAATACAGCCTCAGAGCCCAGAGCCAGCGCGCTGCTCTCTTTGCCCCTCTTTTCTTGTTCAACATAAAGTAAAGAGACGCAGATAGAATAATGTTTGCGTAAAACAGCATCTTTTTTCAGCGCGGGGGAAAGAAAAAAGCTGATAGTGTCTCCGTTTTCGGACTGTAGAAAAGTAAAGACTTGATAACCTGAAGACATTCTGTTTACGTCTTACCTGGGCATTATGAAGAGGTATCCGGGCATTTTTCATTGTTGGGAGAGGATGCGGTCTTGCTGAGCTCGTGTAAAACGGTTTCTCGTTTTATTTGTATTTTCTTCTTCGTTTTTTTTTTTTTTTGAGTTGCTCCTATTTTAGTGGCTCTTGATAGAAACGGTAACGCGTGTGCCCTTTTACGCGGTAGTTTCAAAAAACTTTGCATGCCCAAAATGGACCGTGCAGGATTTGCTCTTTTAATGATTTTGACTGTTGTGCTCGTGCGAGTTGGTGACAGTCAAAGGGATGCGGCAGGTGGGAGGAAAGAGGGTGCGGGGGCAGGCCGGGCGGTCTGGGACCAGCTGCAGTCCCGGGGGATCAGTCGAGGTCACTCGCCGAGGGGACCGCGGGACGGTTCGTCCTCGAGAACATCCGGTGACTCTTCACCTGGGACCAGTCAGTCGAGGACTCTGGTCCGCCTGCCCAGGGGGACATCATCTCAGGAGAATCGCAAGCACATATCCAAAGAAAGACCGGTCCATGCTGCTGGCACCTCCGGGGAAGATCTTGTCTCTGCGCCGAGGGATGGTGCGCGGCGCACCGCCAGACACCCTACCAGCCAGCAGCAACGAAACAGAGTGAACCGCAGGCAGAGCAGCAGGCACAGCTCTGCCAGCACTAAGCGACTTATCGGGTAAGAGTGACGGCCAAGTTCCCCACTGTCAGCAGTCTAAAAGTTTTACTTTGCTTTATCAAACTCTGGATGAGCAGCAGTGGGCTACTTTAGGAGGAACGTGTGACCTATTTAGCTGTAGCGATTAGTCCATGTGATTTACTGTAAAGTGATGGTGGCGCCTTTAGCGTAATCTTTCTTCCTGTAAGGTAAATCAGCACATTCCCCCAAAGCACTCTGTATACTGCATTAATTTGTCAACCAGTAGGTGACAGCTTTAAGCCAACTAAATATGAATTATAATAACGTATGGGTTTTGTTATCAAGGTCATGGCAGAACATGAAATAATAGCTGAGGTCAAACACCGTTGATTACTGGGCTGATGTGGCGGCGGCAGTAATGAACAGCAAATGTGATGCATATGGGTGAACTGTGTTTGAACTATTTAACATTGCATTATCACCATTTCCTCCCATTACTACACATTAGAGTATATTCAAATTGCAGGAGGAGACTGGCTGCAGCCTGCTTCAGTGCGAGTGCTCCAGTTTTAGGCTTTTGCCTGTGGCCATGTATTGTAGTGGCTCCACCAAAGCGTTGGCTGGTGAGCATTTAAAAAATTTGCTCGGTGATCAGAAACACCTGTTTCTCCAGTGGCACTCGCTCCAGCCTGCAAATCTCCTGTTGGGTCTCTGTTAAACTCTAAACAGGACAACGGGCTGTTTCCATATTAGACCTCTTTTCTTTTTGTTAAATGAAGCCTCCTGCATCCACTCCTGTTTGTTCCACTGGGACAAAGCTTGATACACACTGGAGGGTGAATGTTTACATAATAATCAGAGGGAGATTTGAACGGCTCATCTTGGACTGCTGTCACAGAAAATATATATATAAAGCATTTCTTCTGTGTGGCATAACAGGTCTATTATTGATATGTCCAAGTTATGGAGGATTGTTTAGAAGAAATAGATGGGCCTGCATATGATATGCACTTACAGCCTGCTACCCCAGCTACCTACTTGCTACTGACTCTACTGTAATGCCTTTGGTGAGCAGGACCTTGAGAAGTAGCATGCCCCACTAAACTCACGAGGCTTCACAGACAGGATATGATGATGTCAGCGCTCACATGTACCTTTCTCTCTGCGTAGCAGATGTGTTATGTTGTTTTGGTCTGAACCATTAAACCTGAAAAAACCAGCACATTCGGACCAATCCATCACTCAGACATCGAGGTGCTGTCTGTTTAAAGCAGCGTGCAGAGAAAATTGCTCGGTACAGGATTAGATCCAACATGCTTTATTGCAGGATAGGGCGAATGCCTTGCTTGACGTTGCCAAAAACACATATTCCAGCGTTGAATGAATGGGGTTCTTTGAGTTTTTGAGCAACATAAAGGTGGGCGTTGCGTAAATCTGCGGGAACATTACCTTTTAGTAGTCTGCGTGGTGATTTTAACACTTATTAGTTCAGATGAATCATCTGCTGCTTGTTAGAGAAAGTGTTCGCATGACACATTTCCTCTTTGGAATTCCCACTCGCTCATTTACCGTACCCCGCAGCACTGGCAGAGCTGGGCTCGCTTAGCTCTCCTTTACATTAAACTTGACTCAGTGTGACTCCTCTTTCTGTTTTCGCTGCACCTGTCAGATTGGTGATTGATCCAGATAGCTCAGCGGTGAAATAATTCTATGCCTCCTCATGTTGAGGTTTAAATAAAAATATAACAAGGTGCGAACAAGGTGTTATCTACCTATATTTTAGCCTAGGGCATGCTACTAATTATGTTGTATAAAGGTCTCCATTACACGCATAAATCCCTTGATGGAATTTGAACGTGATGACTGATGTCTTTGGCACGAGCCTGACCTGATGTGTTTGATTTATGACAAAACTAAGCTTGCCAGAGGGTCCAAATAACTGCATTTTATCCCTGTGACGCCTCAGTAACACTCAGAGCATCCACTGAGCGCGATCCAACTGAGGTCAATGAGTCAATCCCCGTTATCTTCTCGAATCACCATGAGTCAGACATCCACTTACTGTAATATCTTGTGAAAAGATGATGGGGCACAGAGCCATGCCAGCGTGTTGACTGTTGCCCCAGAGTTGCTCTTGCGGTCTGGTGCCTTTTCATCTATCTCGCCGCAAAAATTGGCCTGGACTACCAGTTAGGATTAACGAGTAAAAGAATCCAGATATAGCTGTTTAAAACTTGTCATCTCTCATTTGCTCTATGATTTATAGAAGATGCAGGGTGTTTTTTTGTGTCCCGTTTGCCTCGCTTAATCCTTCCAGGGCTCAGATAACTCTGTATTTGTCTTCACCCTGGACTCTCGCGTAACAGCACGAGGGACTTGTGGGTCCACACGCAGATAAAGTTTCGTGACTTGCCCTGAATTTTTTTTTTTTCATTATTAAATAAAATGCAATTATAGCGTAATCTCCGAGTTGTTCCTATCAATAGCCTAGCCACATCAGAAGGATTTGAAACCCTTAACAGCCTTTGCAATCAGATCAGTTTGTCATGCGAGGAGGTTCACCCTACTCACAGTTATTGCCTTGTGGATTAACACCTGAGAAAAAGAACTTTTATTTCACCCTGTTTTTCCCGTCTTTTGTGATCTTTTGTTCAGGCCGAATGTCTGTGGAGGTCAGCAGTGCTGCTCTGGTTGGGCTTTGGCACCAGGAACCAACCGCTGCATAAAACGTAAGTGTCGTTAACTCAGTACCCTGTGTAAACTTTAAATAAACGTACCTTGCTTGAATATCCTTTGATTTGGCTGCTCAGTTTGGCAACCGAGGACACACGAATTGGTGAAGCGGCACACAAGCACACTGACATGCATTATATAGAAGAGAACTTCCTCTGCTAGTAAACTTTGCAGACAGAGAGGCTTTACAATCTAAGGCCCTCAGACTGAAAAATAACATAGTAAATGGCTACTAATGACTATCCTGTCAAGCGGAATTGCCCTATGAAAGTTTTCCCTGAGTGTTATTGCCCCCATGGTCATGTTCATCATGCAGTGTTTGCCTTTTTCTTTTCATGTAAGACCCTCGCTTGGAAATTACCGACACTTAGCACTTGGCTGTCTTTGTGACAGCAGTCCTTAATTATGGGTGGAACTGCTGCTTCTTTTTATTCGACCGCAGCGGTATTGAATAACCAGATAATTAAAAGTGGAACAGAAGACACAGGCTGTGAATGAATACGGAGCCATATCTTTAAAATGTAACACTGACCCGGGCTTAAAAAGCGCCTGTCAGCCCGAACAGTGTTGCTGTTTCTTTCTTTAGCTTGCATATAGACTATCTCTGGGAGAAAATCCATTTTTTAGACATGCTATTTCAGATGATCCTAAAGTAAGATTGCTGCAACTCATTCCACATTTGGTTCTTGCAAAAATAACAGGTTGGAATGAAAACCTTTTTTTTTTTTTTAGTAAAAGTTATCTTTAAATTTTACAAGCGCAGTAAAACCCACACTGTTAAGTGACATCTATCTAGCAGTAAAACTGGCCATGGTTTTTTTTGGACTTGTTTACTGTTTTCTCTGTTTTGTTTCTGCTAATTATCTCCCCCTCACACACGCAACCCCGTTTCACGCACATTTCAGCCGGTACACAGCGAGCTGATTGGCTCCAGCGGTCTTCTTATTAGATCTGCCTCCCTCGTGCTCAACACAAAGCTTCCCTCCATTTTTTCCCCCCCTCCCTCAATGCAGAGTTAAAGGCACACTTACCAAGGCGTAAATTACATTTAATGTGGAGCTGGAGTTACCTAAATTAAAAGAGTAAATACTTTTAATCTGTCAGATAATAACAGGTTCAGCCTAGCGCCCCTATGTTAAACAAGGCGGTGGATCTGAGCAGGCCAGGGGACTGTCTGACCATCTGGACCCTCTTACGGCTTGGCCCTGACCCAGGTCTGACTGGAGGCTATGCTATCATCAGCTGAGTGAAGCGCCACAGCCGGCAAGGTGCCAACATAAAGGCCCCAGACTGGAGCGCGGACTGGAAGCCCCCACGTAGAAGACCTCCGTGGAGGAAAACAAGCTCAGGCTATCTATACTTCGTCTTTGCCCGAGATCCAGCCTGCTTTACTGGGAGAGGGCAACCTGAGAAAACATGTTCACAGTGGGGGAAAGAAAAGGAACAAATGTGCCGGGCGGGAGCAAGAAGTAAAAACATAACGTGGCTGAGTTGTGTCTAGGAAATTTTCACTGAAGGGATTGAAGTAATGTCTAATACAAAGTGGCGGCCGAGGGCTTCACCCGCGAGGCTGCATTGAGTGTCTAGAATCACGCTTTCCTCACAATACCTCCTTGTTCAGTTGCGTTGAGGTCAGAGAAAACGTGACAGGAACTGGATCACAGGTCGTCCCGGGAGTGCGCCTTTTTTTACGTTTAAGAGCCGTGTTTATTAAAAGGTTGACGTCTCAGTCTCGGTTGTGCGTCTGATTAGAGATCGTCATCTGGTTCCCTAAATCCTCGGTCCTGCCCACATCCTGGAAGGTTTGGTGCTGACTATCTCTGTTTTCAAGTTCAGGATTGATGGTTAGCAGACTTGTTTATGTATTAAAGCAAATTCCATGTGCCAAAAATAGCCAGCGAGTTCTGGTCTAAGGCTTTGAATCATTGAGAAGAACATTGCATTTCCTCTGCTGTGTCATGCTTGTTCGCCTTCTGGTGAAGTTAACTGCCTTTATTACAGATGAAAGCTTATAGGCTTTTATTACCACCCTTTTACCAAAAGAATATTAATTTTATTTATGGTGGCTTATAACCAAAGATGTGTGTGTGTGTGTGTTGCGTTTGGCTGGTAAAGTGAGGCCAGGTGCAAGCTTGGCTATATTTCCATCTGTTTACTCGTAAGTAGAATCGAAGCTCCTGGTGAGTTAAATGGGGAATCTTGTTTCTGGGTCAGCACTTAAGACTTAGTTCCTCAGTGTGATGATTCACATCTGTTCATCAAAAGTGCAGTTGCACAGAAAAAAGGAGCAGAGGGAGCCCATATTGTAGCTTCACTACTACTAGCCAAGCAGCAGCCTTGCCTTAGTTATAAGACAGTGTGCTCCATTACCGGTGCTGTCAACAACCTCGTGACTATCTGCAGCTCTCCGATGGAAAACTGCAGATAGTTCATGGTCAGATCTCTAACTAAAGCGTAAGAATTTCCATCAGTTTAAAGTGTTGCTTTAACCAACAGCTCGACAAGGCATTCACTAAATACATCAATAAGTAGTAAACCATAAAAAACGAGAGAAAGCAGCATGTTTGCTTAGTACCGACAAATCTGTTGCACCGGCTTCTAAATAACCACTATTTACAAAACAGTGAGATACTTAGATATGGAATTAGAGGGGAAGTTTGAACTGCTGGCATGTTTTAGAATAAATACAGTAACCCTCAATTAGATGTCTTGTACACCAGCGTAAAATTACTGTTTTAAAGTTTTGGTTTAAAACACGTTTTGAAAAAAAGAACCCAAACTTTTAAAGCCCCCTGTAACCAGAATGTAGATTTAAATCACATTACTGTGTTTTTTCCACTCATATCTTTGCGCTCATGTGGCTGGCAGTAAATCATTTTGTGGATAGGGTACTACGGATTGCTCCCACGGGGTTTTTTGTGCCAAAATGGAAGCAGTTTACTGTAGTTTGTTTAGTAGCAGCCACAGATGCTCTGTCGGGCTGCACCTAAAGCAGTCCTGCTAATATGCACAGAGTGATAATGTTGGCATGACGACTGCAGCCCTGAGCTTGTTTGCTACAATGCAAATGGGCAGCTCAGCACCACAGGGCATTCAGTGCTTCCTAGCCCAGGATCATGCAGTCAGTGCAGTCCAGTGCAGTTATGACCATGTGAGAACTGACCTGTGAATTCGAGTGGTCGTCATATGTGGCACATCCTGTGTGCTCAGTCTGAGCTCCATCCTGTTCCTCAACAAAACTGAGTATTTCAAGCTGAGAGAACACTTCTAAGGAAGGCCATCTTCTTTTGTGTGCTACATATGAGAAAGCACGGTCCCAATCTGAACCCTCTGAGTTCATGTGTTGAGTGACTATGCCGATGATCACCAGTTATTATATGCATTTCATTTAGAGCTAAACATAAAACATAAAACACAGCTGAAGCTGATGAGGATTCTACAAATAGGTGAGGTATTTTCTCATAAAGCCAAACTGAAATGTTAAGAAAATCTCAACAAGGAAAAGGACACGAACATCTTTATAAAATTCCATCAAATACTTATGTCACTTAAAATTGAACAGCGTACACCTCATTATGGCAGCAGAGAAGACGGGAGAAGACAGATGTTCTTTATTTAAGAAAAAGAAATAGAAATTTATTCAACTGCTGTTGAAATATTTCACTCCGCGTGCTGAAAAGGATCGCTTTAAAAGAGCGCACTAAAGTTGTTCTGGGTTGTTCTGGCTTCTAAGGTTGATGGCTGTTTTACTAATCAGATTAATGGCATGGTTTGCCACACACAGAGTGAATGCATGGGACAATATAGAATACTTAAGGGCAGGAAACAGTGGGGACAGGGTAACTGCAGCACTGACAGGAACTACCGTTCTTTATACCCCCGGCTCGTAGTGCTCCCCGAAGCATACGCTTTTGGATTGAGAATTAATTTCACCACACTATACATCACAGTGTTTTGACAAAAGCACGTGATACATATGGCAACATGCTGCAAGTACGGCTAACAGTGAGAGCGTGACCCCACAGATGGCTCCTGATTTAACCCTGTTGTTTCTTAGAGGGGGCAGATGAAAGGTGCTTCATTCACATGGAGGAATAAAGTTGTTGTCAGTCTCTTAGGTTGTTGTTGATTGACAGAGTGTAAGGTGGTGGAAAGGAGTTTCTTTTTGATTCCCTTCCAGCTTTCTTTGGCCTGCTGTGCTCTTCAGAGCACCATCCTGGCTCTAAAGTAACTCCTCATGCAGAAAAATCGCTCTCCCTCAGTTTTTACCTTTGCCACCACAAGGTAACTTTCCTCTCAAAGCGAAAAAATAAAGCAAGCAACATTTTTCTCTGATTCCATCATGTCCCCAGGGTAGCTTGAGCCGGATTACAACTTTCCTGTCTGGAACACCGACAGTACAGTAAAGGCTCGACCCTGCTGTTTAAAATTTCATGGTTATCCCTTCCTGCAAAGCCTTTTCTTCATAAATTAATTCATTAATTGCATTCACTGTAAAAGCATAAGACCATGTCTTCTTCTTTGTCTATTTATTCATCACAGCACTTCCTTTTTGAACCTGATCTTATGTGTGAAATGCATTTAATGCTCATCTTTGTTATAACATGTGGGAAGCAGCTGGCAAAGAAACAAGTACATGCACGTGTCTTCTGACCTCCAAAGCAGTTCCCCCGAAATGCAGGTCTGCCATCTTTTCTTCAGCATATTTGTTGCATCACTTTCTATTTTTTAAAAGTCTGTGACTCCCAATACTTTGACATATTTAGACATATCAAGTCATATCAAGTCAAATCTTTTGACATATGCTGAAATGAAGAATCTGGACTTGCACATTAGTGTTATTGTGATTTGCACCCTTGTCTACACACGCCACATACACACTGTATGGATAAAAGTACTGGGCCACACCTTTCAGTCTTTGAATTCAGGTGTTTTCAATCTCACTGAATAGGTGCCTGAATAAAATCAAGCATCTAGGCATGCAGTCTTCCTTTAC